GTAGGTTGGACCTGTTTAGTTTGTAAGCATCTCCTTCTTTGCTTTTCGGTTTTTTCTCTTTGCCTCTGGTATTGAACACTTTGAACACGTTAACTCACAGACATGAATGTGCACGCTCACACAAACACACACCAAATAAGAGCATCCCTTTTAGGTGATCCATGAAAAAGAATCCCAAAGCGATGTTGCCGTGTCTGGCCTGTCCTTAGCAGATAAAGTTGACCTTTAAGTTTGAGTCCCTTCCTCCCCTCCTGCCTCCCACTTCTCCTCCCCTTGACTCCTTCTGATCCTGCTGTCAGAGCACAATGAAGCTTTCACTAACCTTTTCTGTCAGGGTAGAAAGATGTGTGGCTGATTGAGGCTTCCTCGATCCTTTCACCTTTGCTTTTCACCTCAGCTGTCAGTTTCACCTCTGTCAGCTCTCAGGGCATGTCTTCAATTTTGCTGATTTTTCTTTATTTGTTTGATTTTTGGGGGGTGTTCTTGGTTGTCCAAGCTCCCAGTTCACAGTTTTGTGCCAGTGTTAGTGTGAGAGGAGGTTTGGACCCCTGCAGTTATTGTCTCAGCAAAGCACTGCCAACTTTTCCGAACTGTGCGCCCCAGCACTTTGTGATCCTGCTCTGATTGGCTCTGTGTGGCATTTTGGTTATACTTTGTACAGTTTTGCTGTGGTTTGGTTTTTGGTTGTACTGAATTATATGGTGTTATTTATTCATTAGGCTGACAAATTTATGGAATAAATAGAATAAAAGCCGACTCACAGTATGTTGAAAGCGATGTTTCTGTGTGGAACATAACACTGGGGGGAGGATTGAGGAAGCTAACGCTAGTTAAGGGGGACGTGGAGCTGACCAAGCATGAAGACGCTGCATTTCTAATGACACGCTGTGCATCAACAGCCTTTGTTTATTTGCAACATGCGCAGAGCTCCACAGACAGATCGCTGCCACCGCTGCGTGATCAGGTGGCCTGCTGACACTCGCCGTGACTGTCCTCCATTTTTGCCTCCTTAGTTACACAACAAGAACACAGTTGTTAGCGTAGTTTCCCCCAGTGTCAGAACTGTAGTCACGTTAGACCCATCTATATCACTTATGTTTATACCAGCATTGCTAGCTTCCATTGTAGCAGAAGGAGCTAGTTAATTTTTATTAGTCTCAGCTTTATGCAGCAATGTGTCACAATACATTTCAAGTCATAAAAATGTCATTTATATTTGAAAAGACTGGCTGTCAAACGTTCTGTTTATTGTGGACTGGATTTGTTGGTCAACGGTCTGCTTGTTTTCATCATCACTTTAAAACCCGATTCTCACGTTGTCTTTCCATCTTTTTTGTACTGCACTCTAGTCGTGTTTCCGTCCTCGTCCTATCTTCTCTTTCAGCCACAGAGGCAGCCCCCAGAGAAGCCCTGGGAGCTCTAAAGGTCTCTGAGCTAACCCCATTACACTGTCGAGAGGAAGAGGACATTGACACTAATGACTCTGAGCCTATGTAGCTAGCTCCCATAACATGCTAAACTAGCACACAGACCTCTGTCAGACACATAACAGCTGCTTTAAGGGACAGAAAAGTTCAAACAAACAAAAGGTATAATAATGTAGCCATTAACAGATCAGTCAATATTAGATATGACAAAATAAAGTTTTCATGGGGTTCTGAGTATGGAGCACCTTGATTCTTTATTTTTCAGCCATTCTGTTGTAGATTTGCTGATGTGCTTGATATCATTGTCCAGTTTGTCTGACCCTATTTTGCCCAAGCTTTCTCTATTAGTGGCTGCTAAACGAGCCCAAATCATTATCCCATTGCCACCGTGCTGACAGTTTGGTTTTTGTCAAACGTGGTGCTTTGCATCTGTCAAAAGGCCGTTGTTCCAGAAGTCACGAGGTTTGCAAACCTAAGCTGAGCTGCTACGTGCTGTCTCCTGACAGTTCTTAGTGTACTCTGGTAAACGTTTACATTTTACATGCTAATTGAGGCCTGTAGAGTCTGAGATGTTGCTCTGAACATCAGGTGGACCTTATGATGAATTTGCTGGTGCATCCACTCCTGGGAAGATTGTAGCATTGTGAGAACACACAGCTCAGTACTCCAGACCAGCACGCAGCCAAAGCTATTACAGAACTTACCTGTAGTTGTACTAATGTTGTTTCTGAAACAGCTACGAAGAAGTGTGATCTTTTTCATGGTGCAGTTCTGCTCATTACACGGTACACAGAGTGCTGAAGCCAGCCTCTTCTGTCATAGCGACCCAATACACAGATGCACTGATAATTCTGACGTGTAGATGATGATC